GCCCAGAGACTGACATCAACTGTGTGTAGCTGTGGTGGTGGTGGGGAGTACGGTCACACAGCCAGTGACAACTAGTGCAGCCCCAGGCTCAGGGTCTCCCTGCTCTGCCCCTGCTCTCAGCCCAGGCCCACTCACAGATAGTTCTTCCTGATTCTGTCCAGCATCTGCAGGAGGAAAGTGCCCAGGTGGGGATCACTGGGAATGCCAAGCCAGGCCCAGGGCCCTGCCCTGAAGCCTTCTCAGCCTGACCCCATCTGCCTCTGGTCATCTCCCAGGTTGGCATGTGGCAGATCCCCAAGGTTATGTGACCCCTGAACACTCCCTCCACACCAGGTCCTGGGTCTGGGGGCTCCGGCTCCTTCCCCAGCTGGTTGGTCTTGGCTCTGGCTGGGTCCGGAAGAGGGCACATCTAATGGGGCATTTCAGGCTCAGGGAGAGAGAGGGCTGGGGAGTCACTGTCCCCTCTGCCCCTCCCTCACCCAGGCCCTCTGGAGCCCCGCTGGCTCCCATCACCTGAGGGCAGCGCCTGGGCTCTTCTTCCTGAGCAGCCCCACCATCACGGCTGCTGTCCTCCACACCCACCTCAAGTGGCTGGGCTCAGTGGTGTCAGCTGTCCACTGAGTGTCCCCTTCTGCTGGGGCCACCCTGCCCACCCTGTTCCTGGTAACCCCAGACCTGGAAACACAGCAGCTCCCAGTACAAGCTCCTGCCGGTCCTCATAGGCCTGAGTCCAGTGGGAGTTGCAGGGGTCCCTACTGGCTGATGGCAGGATCGGGGCCTCCATCAGCTTGGGCCCCCCGGGGAGGTGGCATGGGTGGCCTGCTCCCTTCCATCAGGCTGGAGCAAGGCAGAGAGAAGCCAGTCTCCCAGTGCTGTGGGTTTATCCTGGGCATGCCACAGATGCCCAGCCCAACGTGACCAACTCTGGGCTGCCCTCCATGGGGGTCTGGTACAGTTCCAGAGGCTCCCAGGGGGCCTCACACTGTGTTGTGACTGCCTGGGTCTTTGTTCCCAGAGCCAGCCTTCCCCAAGATCATGGGAACAGGCGGTCCATAAGGGAAATCCTGTGTAGCACCAAGGCCATGCCTGGATTGGCTCACAACTGACTGCCAAAACGGCCCCTGCCAGCACTCAGGCACCTTCAGGTTGGGGTTGGAGAGTCGTGCTGGTAACTGAGCTCCAGCCAGAGTTCACTTCCTGGTGCTCCCAAACCAGGAGCAGTAGCATCTAGAGACCACCTGCACCACCCTGGCTGGCAGCCCCCTGCTCCTGGAGATACTCCTGCAGGTGTGGTCCCAGTGAGCCTGGCTGCCACAGGTGCTCAGGCCTTGAGCCACCTGAAGGCCACCCTGTCCCACTGGACTACAGTCATGGACTTCTCAAGACAGAGGGCTCCCTGGGGTGGGCAGAAATCCTCAGAATCCCAGGAGGGGCCTTGAGAGGACATCTGAAGCCCACTCCCAGGCCCACAGCTGTCCTTACCACAGGGAGAGTAGACAAACGCCCTCTAGTCTTAGCTCAAGGCTGCACCCACACCCAGGCTGCCAGGGAAAAGGCCACTGTGCAATTCCCTGGCCTGCAGGCTCCTCATGGGCCCCAACACTTAAAAGCCCACCTTCAAGTGGCAGCTGGCACCCCTGCAGACTGCAGCAGGGCTCGCCTCACACAAAGCCTGCCCGGCCACACCCTGGGTCCAGTAGAGACCTGCGCTCCGAGTCACATTCTGCTCAAACATAACTTTATTTTTGCTGCCAGCTGCTTTGCTCGGCCTGTCCCAGGCAGAACTTCCCAGGGACTTGTGCCTCATCACAGTGCAAAATGGCCCCTGAAGCCAGGCTGCCAGGGAAAGCAGCCCACCAGGGGGATTCTGATTGAGAACTGAACTGGTATCTGAACCTTCCTGACACCCAGTGTCAAGGTGGAAGCCAGGACTTCTCAGGGGCCAGGGAGAACCTGGTTTTCCAGCAGTCAAGGTATCAGCTTCAGGTCCTAACCAGGCCACTGGGGACATGCGGTTTGCCCTGCGTGTCTGCCCCACGAAGATGCAGCCAAGTCTCAGCCCAGGGATGGTTGGGGCTATTGAGTGCTGTTACTAACAAGAGCCTAGGACGGAGAATGCAAGGGACTTCCAGCTCAGACCAGGCCTCATGGTGACTTGGGACGAGGATCGTGGCCTGTCACAGGGAATGGCTCACATCCACTCTGGGAGGAGAGTCAGCTGCCCCGTGGCCCTCTGCCCGCTTGGGGCTCTGCAATCGATGCAGGGCCTCCACCTGGCGCCGTTTCTCCTTGGCCCGGGTAATGACCGTGCGGAAGAGCCTGCAGAAGAGCTGGACAGACGGTGGGGAGTCGTCGTTGCCAGGCACGGGGTAGGTGATGAGGCAGGGGTTGCAGTTGGTGTCCACGACACCGACTGTGGGGATGTTCATCTTGGCTGCGTCCCTCACAGCCACGTGGGGCTCGAAGACGTTGTTGAGTGTGTGCAGGAAGATGATGAGGTCAGGCAGGCGGACCGTGGGGCCGAAGAGGAGCGGGGCATTGGTCAGCAGGCCACCCTTGAAGTAGCGGGTGTGGGCATACTCGCCGCAGTCCCGGGCTGTGTTCTCGATCAGGTGTGTGAACTGCCGGTTGCGGCTCACGAACAGAATGATGCCCTTTCGGTAGGCCACGTGGGCAGTAAAATTCAAGGCTAGGTGGAGGTGCGAAGCTGTCTGTTCCAGGTCGATGATGTCCTGGTCCAGGCGGCTCCCGAAGATGTAGGGCTCCATAAACCTGCCACAGACCCCATCAATGGTCAAAGGTCACCCCGGCGCTCCTGTCTGGGCACCTGGGCTGGGAGGCACAAACCGCATCTACTTCCCTTGTGGAACTCTGTCCAATGATTGACAGGTCGGGGCTCAGGGCTGCAGAGGCCCCTCAGGAGCCTCGGCATGTTACTACTAATCCTACCATCCGCCGCCTCTTTCCACACGGAGCTGGGTAGGATGGACCCAAGTGAAGGTTTGGATGTTCTATAGTCAAACATCTGACCAGTTCCTGCTCACCTCCACAGCCTTGGAGGCCCTGCTCCATCCAACAATGGCTGGAGGCCCTTAACCTCTCTGGCCTACCTCGGAACCTTCACCAGCTAGCAGGACTGACCCAAGGTTGCAGGCTCCCTCCAAGACACACAGGAGAGTTTAAGTGCCTTCAGGGGGCTTGGGGAATCCCACCAGTAGCAGCCAGGCCCCAGTCCAGGTCAGGAAGACCCTGCGCCCTCCTGGGAACCACCCCTGGGACACCCTGGCCAGGCACTTCAGCTACCTGTGGCGACAGCCAGCTTTGTGTCCCAGGTGCACGCGGGCATCAAAGAGGCTTTTCACTGAAAACAGCTCCTTGACGTTGAAGAAGTCAGCGTGTCTGAGGGGCTCCTCCAGGATCTTGCGGTGGGTTTCTAGGGCAGGGAGGGCAGGAAGCTGTGGTTTCCCACTGGGCCCACCCAGCAACCAGGGATCCCTGAGTGGAAGCCACAGGGCTGGGGGGTTCTGGGAGAAGCCCGGCAGCCAAGACGCACCCAGCCCCAGGAGACCCCAGGAAGCCATAGTGGCCTTCACAGCAAACAGAGCTGGACCCGGGTTCTGAAGGAGACCCAGCTTGTGGGTAAGCCGGGTCACTACCATCCCTTGTCTGGGGTCCCTGTGGCCCTCCCAGCCACCAGGCCTGGCAGACAGACTCAGGTCCGTCGCCAGAAATCCCCCTGCATGAACCCAGCAAGGCGGACGGCCTGGTGCCCAAGGGGTCCCCGGGCCACGTGATCAGCACAGGCTCCTAGCCTCCGGCCAGCGGTGGTCCCGCGCGGCTGCAGGAGCGGCTAGAACCAGCGCGAGCCAACTCTGGGCTGCCCTCCATGGGGGTCTGGTACAGTTCCAGAGGCTCCCAGGGGGCCTCACACTGTGTTGTGACTGCCTGGGTCTTTGTTCCCAGAGCCAGCCTTCCCCAAGATCATGGGAACAGGCGGTCCATAAGGGAAATCCTGTGTAGCACCAAGGCCATGCCTGGATTGGCTCACAACTGACTGCCAAAACGGCCCCTGCCAGCACTCAGGCACCTTCAGGTTGGGGTTGGAGAGTCGTGCTGGTAACTGAGCTCCAGCCAGAGTTCACTTCCTGGTGCTCCCAAACCAGGAGCAGTAGCATCTAGAGACCACCTGCACCACCCTGGCTGGCAGCCCCCTGCTCCTGGAGATACTCCTGCAGGTGTGGTCCCAGTGAGCCTGGCTGCCACAGGTGCTCAGGCCTTGAGCCACCTGAAGGCCACCCTGTCCCACTGGACTACAGTCATGGACTTCTCAAGACAGAGGGCTCCCTGGGGTGGGCAGAAATCCTCAGAATCCCAGG